GGCCAGGCTGGAGAGCCAGGAACCTGCACGATGCAATGGACTGAGCGCTTTCTGACAGGGCAGCGAGGATCTCGGACGCTACCTAGAGTGGCACTCAAGAATCTTGGCTGGCAAGAACAGTCTTCCAGCAGCGTGATGCAGAGGCATGCAGCAGCAGAGGGGGTCAAAGGGGCAGAAGGGAAAAGGTTTCCCAGCTCACTTCCCTCCCCTCCTAGCAAAAAAACCCAAACACACCCAAAGCTTTTTTCCTTAAATAGCTTTTTTCTCCTTGGCCTAATCAGGACAAAGGCCAATCTTCTGTAACAGGCTTTGAGCTGGCCAGCTCCTGTCCCATCCAGCACAGTCCCATCAGACTGCCCGGTTTCTGGGACTGAGAACGCTGTGACAAGCCATCCATACCAAGCTTTCTCCTTCTTGCTTCTGGTCTAATGTAACTTCACCTGTGTAGCAATGGCACCAACACTGCCAGGCTGCTGGCAGCCTGCCACAAACCACATTAGAGCTGGTGGAGGTGAGATCATAAGTTTCTCAAAGCCCAGGCAGCAGGAGGGGAAAAGAGGCTTTCCACCAGCACTAAGTTGCTCCAGTAAAACATTTAGTTATTTCATTTTCTAAATTTGGATCCTCAGTCTTGTAAATGAGAAAGAGCTTTTCTTGTGGTGTTGTTCCCCCCCAGGAGGATACAGGTGGACTGTGAAACTTCTGAGGAGCAGGAGCTGCCTGCAGGCAGAAGCCCTCCCTCTGTGTCAGAGGTTTCTCAAGTCACATGCCTGGGCTCCCCACGCAGAAAGTTGGCCTTGAGGAAGAGATTTGATTTAGTCTGTCTGCCATCATACCAGATATAGCAGGGCAAAGCCCACGGCAGGAAGCCCTGGGGCTGGTCTAGACACACCCCCAATTATTCTCTGCTTCAGAAGGAGCATAAACACCATCATCATGTGCAAAAACATGCTCAGTGTGGGATGGGCGGGTGACTCAGTGGGGATAAAAAACACTCCTGAGAGTGAAGCCCAGTTTAGCAACTTCAGCTGACTTTTTTAACTGGCTGAACACAGTGCTTCACCTTTGTCAGCTCAGAATAACAAGGAAACCAGCTCTGTGCTTAGCTGGAGCAGTGAGGAGAAGGGAAAGCATTGTGTCAGAGACCTGGGAGGCAGCCAAGAACCAGGACATGAGAAAAGCTTGCACCTGCTTCAACTGCTGAACTGGAGAGATAAGGGCAGTGCTTTGTGCCCCAAGGTAAGAGCAAAAGGCAGAACTAACCCAGCTGGGGTGGCAGATCCCAAATTCTGCCCCCCCTGCCCCAAGCCTGCAGCCTCCTCCTCCCTCCCCCTGTTCCTGTCCTGCAGGCTCTGCATGAGCATTTACCTTGGATGGAGATGAGTACTTGAAGGAGGCTGGATTTACTGGTCCACCGTTCCGTCCCCTGAAATGCACATACAGCTGTGTTAAAGGGCTGAACCACCACCAGTTTGCTCCATAACTGTTAAATTAAGCAGGGCCCCAGTTTCTCTGCATTCCTATGGCCCCCAGCAGGAACATGGGGCTGACTGGATGAGCACATGACATGCTGGTGTCCCCCTGTACCAACCCACCTCTCCGTTATTTTTCATCAGTGCTACACCCTGCCAGGCCAGTTCTGCCTGAAACGCTGTAACCCTACACACCAGACAGCAGTTCCAGCCCCTCCTCAGCTGCCCTGTCCATCTCCCTGCCCAAAACAGCATTTCCCCAGAGCTCTTTGTTCCAGGTCTCCAGCTAGATTTTCTGCCACACTACATGATGGTTCCACGTTGTGGCAGACAGGGACCCAAACCCTGGGAGAATACCCCATGCTGGTGTTGGCACCTCTGCTCTGTCCAGCCACAACACAGCCTGGCTGCTCTGACCATGGGCTTCGCATCATGGAAGGACAGATAAGAACCAAACAGTCCCAGCAGAAGCCAAACTACACCAGTCACCTGCTCCAGACTTCTCAAACAGAGCTCCAACCCCAGCTGCCCCCAGCTCAAGCAGCAGCTGAGACCAGGAGTCACCCAGGACTTGGCCTGGTGGGGGGTGCCTCGTTCCCCAGGCAGCCTGGCACAGCCCCCACTCCCCTCCCCACAGGCAGGAGATGGAAGGGTTACCTTGCCTATCCAGGTCCCCAGGAGGCTGACACACACTTTGCCGTTGTCGTACAGGTTGGGGTTCAGTCTCCCGCTGCACTGGGAGAGGTAGCGGAAGAGAGGCGGGACAGCAGGGTAGATGTTGGGGAGCTGGATGTCGAAGAGGAAGAGGCCATCCTCGTAGGGTGTGCGTGTGGGGCCTTTTATAAGTGCTGAGAAGAGATCCTGTGGAGAGAGGCAGTATGAGCCAGGCCTCAGGACACGTCCTCCTGCCTTGGCAGGGCTGTGACTCCCCGCATAGGGGCGGAGGGGCTGTGATTAACTCAGCCCATGCAAGACTCAGCTCAGGCCACGCATCTCGGGGCACCCTCCTCCTAGGAGCTGCACTTCTACTACAGCCTGGCAGCAGAGCGAGCCTTTGGATCTACAGCAGGGCTTGGAGGCTGGTCAGCAAGCCCCAGGCTGCTCACTGGTCGCACCAGCCCCTTGCTCTCTGCCCACCCACCTTTCCTGCTCAGCACAGGCAGCCCAGTGGGCAGCACACCCAAACTGGGCTTCCTGCAAGGAGGAGCTCCCCAGTGTTTGCCACCCTGAGCCGGGCGGTGCAGAAGCAGCCAGTTCCAGCACTATTTCACATGCTGCACACATTCCTGCAGCTCTCATGTGAGGGATTAAGGCTAAGCAGGGAATTCCAAAGCAAGCCATCCGGATGCTGAGCCCAGCACTGACAGACAGGCATTTGAGAGCAGGCACTTGCCATTCGATCCTCGAAGGTTTTCACCATGATGCCATCGGGCAGGGAGGTGGCCAGCAGAGCCATCTCTTTCCGTACAGTGCTAAAGAACTTCTTTGCTTCTGGGGGCTGGAACTCCATCTTCTTGAAGGCATGGGTATCTGTGGGGCAAGGAAGAGAGCGGGATTAAAGCCTGCCTTTGGAAACTGCCACAGGTTCCTTGTGGAGGCAAATCTACCCACGTGGTAAAGCTGTAATTCAGAAGAGAAGAGCTGACTTGCTTTGGTGCTGAGCCAGGAGGCAGCGTAGAGAGGATTTTTTTCCCCAAACTGTAAAGCAGCCCCAACCTGCACGACCTCCTCACAGTCCCACACAGCACCCTCCCTGTGTCCCAGAAGGAGCCCTGTCCCACTGCCAGGACAACACATCATTGCACAAAGCCACGACCCTTCCTCTGCAGAACCCGAGCACAGCTCCCTGTCTCCATTTAAACACACCCCAGGTTCAGACCAGTTTGGCCACCTCTCCCTCTCAGGTCTGGCCTGGCTGGCTCACCAAGCACCTTGGGCTCTGCTGTCACCAAAGTTCCACACAACCAGATGCTCTTTTTTATTTTTGGCTGATTAACATTTGCGTAAGTGAACAAGGACACTCACCCACCAAGGGCACCCAGCACAAGAACATCAGCTGTTCCTGTTCTTGCTTCTCAACCAAACCTTCCCTGCAAAAAAGCCTGAACAAATCCTGTAGCTTTCAAGGAAGTATCTGCAATGGAAAGCAGCTGATCTCTGCAGTCCTCCAAAGTTAGTTACCAAGGTGGACAAAAGGGAAGTCTGCTTCTGTGGCTGGAGAAGTTACAGTAGTGCCTCAAGATGCCATCTAAAGTCCCCAAACTGATTACGCTACAGAAGTTGTCTGAATTTCACCTCCCCTGTTAATGACCTGTGAAAAGGACCAGGAAAAGAGCATACCCCATCCAAAAGGCCTAGAAGCCAGGGTTCTGGAGGAAGAAACACTGCAAGACAGCAATGAAGGCCAGAGTGTCCTGCACCGGCCTGACCCAACACACTCACCTGGGGCATACTCCAACACGGAGAAGACTTCTCCCTTGGCACTGGTGAAGGTGACTCCAGGCTTGCCTCCACTCTGCTGGCAGAGCACTGGTGTCTCACTGGGCCACTCTGACCTCACTGGTGTCTGTGCCTCTGCTTTTTCTTCTTTCTTCTCCGTCTCCACCATAGCTTCCATCTTTTCCTCCTCTGCAATAGCCACATTATCCAAGGTCTTCTTTAGATTTTCCTGGAGCTTCTTAATATCATCCAAAAACTTCTTCTCCCGAGTGGGTTTTTCCAGCTCTACAGTTGGTGAGGTGGGAGAGCCAGTCAACAGCTGCTCCACAGTCATATTCTTCAGGCTTTCCAAGATCTTGATGGCCTCCTTTAGTTCCCGGAAGCTCTTTGGGGCTCCATCCTTGCCAGCTTTCTCTGCAGCAAGATCTGCAACTGCCATAGCCACAGCTCCTTGGACTTGTTCCTCTACTTTTTTCACCTCTTCTGCTGCTGGCTCCTCAGGCTCAAAATCCTCAATTTTTGGGTGGTCGTCTTCCATGAGGCCATTGTCTGTCTCCCAGCTGTCGCTTTCATCCTCCCACTCAGAGGATGCCCCGCTGGTGCTGCCGTCAACAGAATCATAGTCTGACTCCTCAATTTCTGATTCAATATTGTATAAGTGCTAGAGGAGAGCAGAGTTACAAAAGACACCACTTAGGTCAAGGCACAGTTTTCTTTGTGGTTTTTTTTTTTTTTTCCCCAATGCAGGCAAGTCAGTTCTCCCCAGGAAAAGGAAGGTAGCTATAATTCTTGGGCTGTTTCAACCCCTTCCATCTTGACTGGGTGGACTTTGATCCAAATATCATGCTCAATGACCAGCACAGATTACACTATCAGCACAGCCCCACATTCCACCTTTCAAAGTAGGGCACTGCGGAAAAACTAGGGCAAGTTCTAGGTGGGCTGCAGCCATCCTGGTGGCTGGGATCCAGCCACTGAGGAGAGCATGCAGGCACCAGACAGCTACCTGGATGCCCCAGGGTTTCTGAATGAAGAGCTAGTTCAGTGGGTATTGGGTATTGTGTGTGGAGTTAGTATTTCTGGTCCTGCTTCTGCACCAGCAGCTGTGTTGGCACAGGACCCTGGTTTGGCTGCCTCCACTCTCCATCCTTCCACAGAGACAATGCTGGAACCAGGAAGACATTCCCACACCAGCTTTCTTCTTCTATGGCACCACTTGTCGTCAGAGCCTTGCTACACTGCTTTAGCTGTTGTATGTCACTACTGCTTAAAATTCAGCTGGGACAATGAAGACTAACCCGAGTTGCTGAATAAGCTCTTACATAAAACATTCTCTTCCCCTTCACTACTGGAAGCTGAGCCCACCCACCCGCTGTCCAGCCTCACCTCTGATAATAGCACTTTTGCATATGCTATGTCTGTTACAAGGTCCCCTTAGACATCCTCCAGCTACGAGCACCAACATCGAAGCAGAGGAGCAAAACAATTTTACAGGGCTGTGTGAGCAGTTACAAGATGGAGTGTTTTATCCACAGGCTTCTGACACTTGAATGACAGCCCAAGAATCCTCTTAATCTTGCAAGATATGAGCCCAGAGGCTGAAGTGCATGGATGCTCAGTCATCTTGTCAAAGCCTTGAACTGAACCAGCACTATTTAGCCAGTCCTGTGCCACCCAGAGACAGGCAACTAGCAGAGGTTAGTTGGGTTCAACACAAGTGACTGCAGGCAGGAAAAGCCATCAAAACTCAGTGCCCTCAAAGCTAATCCAAATCTGAGTCGGAAAGTTAATTAGCCAGTTATGCCATCTTTATTTTTAGAGCTGAGAAAAAGCACCCAGACAGCTTGTCTCTGGGCACACGGACAGGCATTGATAAATCACAGTTTTACCAACTGATAATTCATGCTCCTGACATTTCCCCAACTCCCATAATTACGCAGATGAGCAGAATCGAAGGGACTGGCGTGACACAGCAGGAGCTGCTGCAGAGCCCGGGCTCCGCAGAGTGAGAACAGCCCTTTGTGGAGCCCGCATCAGACCTCTGATTGTGCCTGTGATCCAAGCACATGTGACAACAGGGGGAAGGGAGACAGCAGCCTGCTTTGTAACCCTCTAGTCCACGGCCATAGTGCAGGCATTGACTATTCTACTGTAATTAATGCAGAGCTGCTCGGTTTAAAAAGAAATCTTGGAGTCGTCTCTCCCTGCGGCGGAGGCAGCGGGGTTCTCCGCCACGGTGATGGAGATGGGACCCTACAGAAGCAGGTCTTCTCTTATCTTCAGGCTGCCTGCCTTAATTTGAGGCAGCAAGGAGAAGGGACAGGGGATGAAACTGTACGTGGAGTAGTGAATAAGATTACAAGAGAGCACAAGGGAAACCTCAGCCCAAGGCAGGAGGCGGGTCAGTGGGGTTAAGTGGATTGGCAGCGTGGCTCCATCTGTAGTTTTGAGCTCTCGCTCAACACTTTTCCCTCCCTGCCCTGCGACGAGATTTGGGTCTGATGCCCAGGTTAGCTAAGGTGACAACTTGTGGCTCTAGTCCAGCTTCTGGAGGCACTTCTTTAGGTAAAGAAAACACTAAGGTGCCATTCCGGAAGCAAGACAGAACAAGCTATTGTCTTTCAGCAGTGTCTTAGTTGGGTAATGTAGTGAAGCTGGGCTCAAGTCAGCACTGATAATGCCTGAGCTCTGCAGCCCCCCTCAGCAAAGCAGCAGGTGCTGGAGGCCAGGAGCAGGGCTGTGAGCATGCAATGCAGCACCCAAAAGGAGCTACAGCCTGCCCATACCCTCCTATTCTCTATATTCAAGAGCAGTGATGCCTCATTAACTGCCTATCTCTCTTGACAACGAAGGATTCTCTTGTGCTAAAAGAAGTGGGAAGCCACCCTACTGTCTGGAAAGGCAGCAATAAATATTGCAAGACTCCTTATACAATGAATCTCATTGCACCCAGGATTCAAAACCAAGCCTTGCTACTCAATTAACAGTTAACAGGGATACCACAAGCTGGAACAGGACCTCACCTGAGGGAGGATGATAGTCTTGGAGTTATCAGCCCACACCACTTCCACTTTACTGCTGACATCCACACGAGCCACTTGTCCGACTGAAGGCTGTGGAAACAAGAGCAGTTTGTCAGTCCCTTTTCTTTCCCAGGCATTGCAGTGCAGTCAGGGAGGCTTTGAGAAACAGATATTCCCCTGCTGGAGAACCAGCTACTGCAGTGCTTGCAGCCTGAAGCAGAAGTGGCAGTTCTGGGGTCCCATGCCAAGGATGAGAAGGACCCTATAGATTAGTGTTTCCATGAGAAACCCCACAACCCTGCCATGGAGATGGAGAAAATTCCCTTCCAAGAAGGAGGAGAGAACCAGGAAGGCTGGTCTGGCAGTAGATCCCGACTTCAGAGCAGGGCCATTGGAGGGCTGTGGCCTCTCTGCAGGCAGCACGGAGGGGACAGGACGGTCCCTGAATGGGACTGCCCTCTAGTGGGGTGCCACCAGCCAGCCCTGGGCTCCCACGCCCTGCATCAGGGGCTCCCAGCAGCTTCTCCCAGCAGCGCCAGCGCAGGCGTGAACAGACAAGTCACAGTTGGCACAGGGTGTGCAGGGTAAGTAGCACCCTGCACGGGAGGAAGGTTATGTAGGTCAGCTGAGCAAGTGGGGATGTGTTTCATGCTGCTGAAACTGGAACTGCAGTAAAAGCCACACTGCACCTTTTAACCCTTTTTTAGGGCAGCAGGCTGAAAAGCTGGAACTCCTCCCTGCACAGTAAGGATTTCTGTTTCCTAGAAAAAGAGTACATCCCTCTACAAAACAATTGTTCCCTTTTCCTCCCCAGGAGATCAACCATCTCCAAATTAACATGTACATAACTCAGATGAAAACCAGAATCCCAGTCTTCTGTTGCCAAGTGAAACTGGTTTCACCACAAACCCACCTTCACTCTTGCTCAGAAGCCCAGAGAAAATCCTCATATTGCAAGTTACTCTGAAATCCTAAGCAAGTATTTTATTAAACCCCCTCAAACATAGGCTTGATTCGTCTCAGCTTCGTTCCTGCTCTGCTACAGACTGTCACCAAGGTCAAAGGACTTGAAGGTTACACCTCCATCAGGCTTAGAGATTTGATGTCAGTCATGACAACAGGGGATGCTGACAGAACTTGTGAGCTAGGGAGCTTAGGACGCCCATAGAGCTGGAGGCTCTCCTACTGCCTCTTTCAGGCGTCGCCACCAAGCCCTGGTGACAACCCTGTCAGAGAGGCGTGCCCAGGACCCACCTCATCCTCGTTGGCCGTGGCCCCGTCGGAGTTGCCGATGCGGATGACGATGTCGGTGGTGCGGAAGCGGAAGTCTGGGTGGTCAGCAATGTCGTACACGCTCACGTCCTCCTCCTCCCCGACCAGCTGCACCGGAGACAGAGCGCGGCCCCGTCAGCCCCAGCACGCTGCACCCACCTTCACAGCACCCCTCCGGCACCCCAAGTGCTTCGGGTTCTGTTTTGTCAATATTCAGTTGCTCCAACAGCCTGCAAGGAGCTGCTGATGTCCCTTCCTGTCACCTCATCCTGTAGCACATCAATCAAGGCTCAGCAAAGAAAGGAAGTAGGTTTTATCTCATCTGCTCACCCTCACCTTTACCTCTGGTCCCACATCACTACTGTCAAAGACATGCAAGAACAACACCTTATTCTGTTCTGAACACTCAGATTTCTCAGAGCTTTCTCAGATTTCTTTTGAAATGATCCAAGGCAACAGGAAAGCTTTTCAATTAATGGGAAACATCTTTCCTTTGATTTCTCCTGCAGGAAGAGAGCTAGGAGCTCCCAGATAACGAGAAATGGGCAAAGAGGAGCACAACTCCAGGCCAGAGCAAGGTTCCACTGCTGGATGCAAAGGGCCTTCATGTCTTCAGTTATGACAACATGGTCTCCCATCTTAAGGCAGAAAGCACTGTGCTAAATTTGTGGTTCAAGTCCCTCTCTCCTCTCCAACTAGAGCACAGTCTACCATACACTGTGAAATACAGCACTCCTACAGAAGGGAAAGGTGTCAGGTTGGCTATAGGCAATAATGCCTGGCAGAGGTAAGCAGGACAACATTGACTAGATTGATTTCCTTTCCATGAGCTAGCAAAGACATGGAAAGGAAAAATTTGTATCATGAACTCAAGAAATCAAGTGCCTGTGACAGCTTCAGCAAAAATCTTCATCCATGCCAGAGCATGATGTTGACTATGGGATGTAAACCCTCTGTTTTCTCTTTGCTGCCATGCAGGCAGCTACAAATCTGAAGCGACACCACCCCTAGCTAAGCCTCACAGGCCCAAAGGCACACAACTGTTCCCATCCTCAAGGACAAACTTCACTGCAGAGCTGACTCCCAGGCTAATTGGAGTTTATCTGTGAAGCCTGTGCTGTTTTGCAGCTGTTTTCTCATAGCTGGTTCCAACAGGCACTGGTTCCTGCACTTACCTCCACATCATCTCCACTGGATTTCAGCTTGAACCACTTCACCACACAGGTACGGCCGATATGGTCACCAGACTGCACGACTCCATACAACCCAGGGTCCTGGTTGCTCTGAGCTTTAGGTTGGAATGGTAGAGAAGCAAACAGACAAGTTAAGCAAAGGAGCACAGACTTCACACAGCACCTGAGGCTGCCAGCTCCCAAGCTCTCAGGGCTGAAACCTTCCACATGTGAATGGCATGAGGAAAACCTGTTCTTCCTACACAGTGAACACTGTACTCAGCTAACGACTTGCACCTTAATGGGGTGTGGAATGATGATAAAGCAAGACTGTGTTGCATTGGGCTGGGTGAACAGCTTCCCTTCAGGACCATTTCTGAGCTCTGTCACCAAGAGAAACGAGTCACCTTAGTGCTGTGCTCTCCAAATTAGCTCTGCACCAAGACTCTCAGAGTATTCGGACAGAGTGGCCAAGAGCTTCCTGAGAGCAGCCCTGGCTGCCGAGGTCTTCATCTAGAAATGTGCCACCACAACAGCTCTGCTCCTCTGGAAAAAAAGGACTGGACACAAAGGTGGAAGGCAGGCAGGGCGTGCTGGGGGTCCAACAGCAGCAAAGCTGGGCCTGGACCACCCTCTAGGCCTGGGTTGTTATGCAGCACACTGCTATCTAGACAGCTTTCAGATTTAGCAGGCTGACAAGGATCCACCTCCCAGCATCCTTATCAGGAGGACACAAGGAACTGCAGGCACCCTAGACTGCTTGGAGAGTATGTTTGACAGAGGAATACAGATTTCCAGGGGCCAAACAAATGGTAGAGCTGGAGATGATGGATAACTTCAGTTTCCACAAACTACATCTAACCCACAAGACCAGTCAGACTATTACTCATCAGAAATAGCCAAGCAAAACAGCATCTTTTTTTGCCAGGCCACCTTTCCCTCTACTCTTGCTAGAAAAGGACCTGAGAGCCAGATGGCATGCCATCAGTATTTCACATCCAAAAGCCACAAGTCCTTTTAAACTTGTACCGTGACCCTCACTAGCATCACCAATTGGTCTGGTGAAGAAAAGGGATGCAAGGTGCTGCCTCTGGATCCCAAAACCCTCTAAGAAAAAACAGTCAGGATAGACAAGCCATACAGATATAGCAGTCTGAGACGAGCTGTTCATTTCTCCCCTCTTCCTGCAAGAGAGCTCAGAGCTGTTTGTGCTACCAAGGAGAAGGTGGGCCACCTCTACAGAAACACCAGCAGCTTTGCTCCTTGGAAGTTGTTTCTTTCCACATCTTGCCTCTTGTCAGTGTTCAACTTTGGTATTTAAATAGTTTTTCTCTGCTGACATTCATGCTAAGTCAGCTGAATCCCTGTCCTTTGTTAGGCTCTGTGCCTACCTCAGGTGAGTACTATCAGCTTCTATGGTAAAAAGGCCTACAACAAACATCAGGAGATCCAGATTGATGAATACTTGACAGTTAAGAGCACGATTGTTCCCTGAGGAGAGCATCGTTTTGACACCCAATACCTCTTTTGTCCACCACAAAATCCCCAGGGCAGAACTCGTTGTTGTCCAGATGATGGACTGGAATCAGCTCGTTGGAGCGAATGTTTGTCTCCACTGTGCCATCCTGCCACATCACGTCAGCCGAAGTCATCGTGGTCACCACTTCTACTGCAACCCTGGGAGCACAAAGGCAACGAGTTACCAGAGGGAACGTGCACGAGCACAACCAGACCGCGATGCTGCCAACACCAGGAATGAAGATGGATCTCAGGAACACAAAGGTTGCATATCAACAGATCAAGCAGGCTGGGAAGCAAGTCAGGAAACCTCATCTAGTCCCAGTGGAGGCAGCTACACAGCAGGCTTTGTTTTGATGGGTTCTCAGTCCCTGCAGATGTTACACTGCTGCCAGTCTGTATTGCAGGAGGACTTCCCAGGGAGCTGATGCTGAGCTCACTTAATCCTAGTGGAACAAATTAACATCTACCAGCACTCACTTTATACCCCCGGCAGAGGCACGACTGGAGCTTCAAATACTCTGAAACTTAAGATCTTCTCTACTGAAGCACCTTCTAGCCTGACAGCTCCAAGGAGTCTTTGAAGCTAGAAGAGTATGGGACTGGAAAGAAAGCAGCATCCATCTCAGCCCTTCCAGAAAGGAAAAAAACAAAGGCAACACATTGAATGGGGGTAAAGCAAAACGATTTTGTTTTTAAAGAGACAAGTCTCCTTTCCCAGCTGTTCAAACACATACATGTGTCTCTGCAGCTCAGAAATGAAACTCAAACATGCAACAATGGACCACATGCTGGTATTTTGCTGTGGAGGCTTGATTCCTTGGGGGCAGAAGAAACAGAGCTGCAGTCTAGCTGGATGGGCTCTTCTAACGAACCTTCCATCATTTTCATGTCTCCTACAGCACAGAACAAATTGAATCCCATGCTGATCTTAAATTTTGTCTTTCTTTTGCTAGCCAAGCCTTCCAGACATAACACAAGTGCTGCATTTATGTTGGTTTCAAGTCAAACCATAAAGAAGATACAATAGGCAAATACAACTGTTTTCCTCCAGCAGTGCTTTAATGAATGGCAGAGAAATATTTCAAAGTAGAAATAATATGAAGTTCCCAGTAGGGCCTGCACTCGACAGCAGATATTATCTGAGAAGGAAATCTGTAACAGGTCAAGCGTGGTGGGTGACATCCAACAGATGGTTCCAGGGGGGAAGGGTGGGTATGTGCAGCAGGATGGGAGCAGAAAGCCTGGCCACCCAAGGAAATGACAGGCCTGTCTGCAGCACAGCTTAGGCTGCTTCAAACAAAAAACATGACTTGGCATTAGTAGAACTCTCTCTAGATCCTCACTAAGAAATAACCAGAGGTCTGTGCACTGCCAGGGAGGAGGCAGCGGGTCATTTAGTGATGCTAAAACCACATGCTGAGCTGGCCCCTACAGTCAGAGATGCCCAGGAGGTGACACGTCAGTCTGGTGACTAACTGCAGCAAGCCCATCCACTCTGCATCTCTCAGTGCAGCCTGGCAGCACACCTACTGATGGTCTCACCAGCTTCTTCTGAATACTCAAACAGTGAGGACCCCCACACTGAGCTGTGACCAGCTGCCACAACATGCCTTTTCAACTATCAGCTGAGGTTTCACACCGTGTGCTGAAAAAGCTTATTTCTTATTCTCTGAGACATGGTCAACTCTGAAAAGTGTCCTAACATCTCACCCCTGCCCTTCCTTGTGTGGAGCTGCCCAGATCCAGCACAGGAGTCTCTCAGTGTCATCTAAAGGATTTCCCCCCACGGGCTCTATGGTGCAGAAAGCTACTGGGTTTATTACCTAAGGTCTCCTTAACAAAACCCTTAGTGAAGTAGATCCACTCCGGAGCTGGGCTAGAAATGAAAAGTGAATGAAGAATCATTTCCCAGGAAGTCCATCACACTTTCTTTTCACCCCAACACTGCTCTGCTGAGCTTTGTGACCTTCAAATCCAACTTACCCAAAACTCAAAAGGACTAAAAGAACAGCTCTCCTTGCCTACAAACAAAGCTGAAATACCTAAACAAACTGTGAGTGAAGTTCACAGCATTCTCAAATTACTGATTCCCTTGAATCCTGATAATGTCACTTTTCTGGGAAGATTCTTACATATTATCTTGCACTAGTTCATTTCTGATGCAGGATCTGTATACAATTAAGTAGCCCAGGGAAGCCAGCAAGACAGGCCAGCCAGTTCTCAGATGTCTTTGCGACTCCTGAAAACAGCTTAAACATTCTCAAATTAGATAAAAGGTAAAATCTGCCAAGATCCAGTTTTATCTGGAAACAGGTGGATACACACAATGCTCCCTCCCACAAGCCGCTGCGATCAATTCCTCCAAGGCTCTCAAGGAGTGCACTTTGGTCATTAAAAACCCAATAAAAAGTATACTGCTGGCAAAAAGTTGCAGCTCTCTCTCCAGAGGGTGAGGCTAACAGACCACTGCAGCACGAACCCCTGCCAGCACAGCCCTCTGTGCTGCTCTGACAGCTCGCCGAGGATAAGCTGCCCACCCCTGCTGGCATGGTCTGTCCTCAGCCTCTCTGCAGAGGCTGCCCATGAGGTGACCAATTAGCGTCACGTTTAAGCTGCATGATCTTTATTCACCTGTCTCCCTCTGTGCGCACGGAGCCTCGTGCAGCACAGATGCTCTGCTGATGTCCTGAGGCAGAGCTGAAACAGAACAGCATCAGTGTCACGTCACGTGGCCCCAGTTTCATCAGAAGCTGGACAGGCACCAAGCCGATTCCACACGGGCCACCGCACAGTCATCACAAGATAATTGCTCTCGGTCACTACCAAGCAGCGTCTTAACGTGAGGCATGCCAAGCCGAGAAGGTGGTTTACATCTGAGCTCTTTGATAAGGGAGATTTTAGCAAGAATATCTAGATTTGTAAATCCAACTGACCTGTCTCCTGGCTTAAACTCTCGTGAAATCTTGGTCTTCTTCTTCTTGTGCTTCCGCTTCAAGTTTTTGATGGAGAGAGGGATGCTCTTCTTGCGGCCAGTGCCGCTGCCGCTCTGGGAGGAGGCAGTGGAGCTCGCAGAAGAGGTGACAGAGCTGGTGTCATCCGTGTCATCGGCTGCCTCATCGTCAGCATCCTGCTCCACAGACTGAAGGCGGTAGTCAGACGACCCTTCGTCCTTGAGCAGAAAGGGAGGCTGCTGCTGTCGTGCTGCTGCTCCCCCCTTCTCCTTCCCCGTTTCTTCAGGCTGCTCCTCCTTCCTCTCCCCAGGACTCGGTGCGCTGTTGGAAGAGTCATCCAGCTCACACTTTGATCCAGGCTTCAGCTCCTCTGATTTCTGGTCGGCAGCTGCTGCAGGCTCTTTGTCAGGGGCTTCGGTGGTACCCTGAGACTCCGGAGAGCAGGACATGATCTTCACTATCTGCTTCTTCAGCAGCCGCCTCACCTAGAGAAAGCAGACCCAGGTCAGACTATGCCCATGCACTCAGCAAGCTGCCAGCTGACCTGGGGAATGGTTTTGGCTTTGCACACAGGAAAACAGCACCCCACGGGCCTCTGCACATCTCACCTGCACCAGAGGATTGTGTGAACCAGCATCTCCTCACTGCTCTACTCAGGAGCAGCACTGCACTTGTCCAGAGAGAAAGTGAGCTCTGCTCCTTAAGGCTATTTTAAGTATGTTCTGAACTTTTTATGGAAGGCTACAAGAAGCTGCACAAGTTAATCTATGTAACAGACACAGCTATGCAGGGAGTCACCGTCCACATTGGGGACATCCTGTTATTCTAGGAACACCATTGCTCTACAGCCAGCATGTAGAAACCACAGCTTGACTCACTTGGCCTAGGAAGCAACGGCTTCTTGTCTCACTGTAGCAAGGGTTTAACTGAACAGCTCAGCTCCATGAGGTCATGCTGGTGAAAAGGACACATGTCTAACGGTCCTGGCTGTCAGAGCACACCAGCTCTGACACAGCTTGACCCTTGCAAGGTGACACCTCTAGTGAAGGTCCTGTTCATGTTCTCTGGTGGCATTAGCTACATGCTTCACCCAGACTGCTGTACAAGGTGACTTGCTGCTGGCAACAAGCAGCTATTACTCTTTACAACCACCACTTCAGGAGTTGCATTTCAGACCATGTGACTAGCAGAAAGATTTTTGCTTTAAAAGCCACAGCAACCAAAAATACTTTGAGAAGTCAATGCCTCCCTCCAGCCCTCAACTCACCTTTTTGGCAACTGATCCTTCACCCAGGACACAGTTTCTCTCAGGACATTCACAGGTGATCTTTGCGGGTTCCACTTTGTCTGGGAACACATAGAGGCACCTTTCTCCAAGCTGCCTTTGGGCATGGTCAAAGCACCCCAGACGCTTTACCCTGGTAGAACAGAAGGGGAGCCATGAGCAAAGAGCAAAAGCAGTAACAGAACCTTATCAATACTTCTCAATATTTAAAGGGCAGGTGTCAAGAGGATGGGGCCAGCCTCTTTTCAGTGGTGTCCAATGACAGGATAAGGGGCCACAGACAAGAACTGGAATGCAGGAAGTTCCATCTGAACAGGAGGAAAAAAAATTTCCTGTGAGGGTGCCTGAGCCTGGAGCAGGCTGCCCAGAAAGGTTGTGGAGTCTCCTTCTCTGGAGAGGAACCAAACCTGCCTGGATGCCATCCTGGGCACACTGCTCTGGGTGACCCTGCTGAAGCAGGGGGGTGGACAAGATGCTCTCCAGAGGTCCCTTCCAACCCCCAGCATGCTGGGATTCTGTTACCAGGGCTTTCACAAGGATGGCATGACTTCATGCCAATGGCACTTCTGGGGTGGCAGAAGCTAACAACACCAAATCTTTTCCAGGCACACAATTCTAAAGGAGGAGTGGGAATCTCACCAGGGACTGGGTGGGAATACAAAGGGTTTGGGCAGGACACAAGTTGCTCCTCTCCCTCTAGCTCCCCCTCCCAGAGACAGCTGCCAAGAGACATTTGAAGTTGGCATCGTTTTTATTTGCTGTCATCTGAGAGCAGCTCTCCTCCAGCTTATGAACTCCAGGCAGGAACCACGCTGCAACTGTGCTATTGCTCATCTGCCTTTTCTCAGGAGTGTTGTCCAGCCCATTCCTGCGGCTGCAGCCTGTAGAGGGCACCAGATGCTCCCTCAGCACAGCCTGGGTGCAGAGCAGGACACTGCAGGAGCTGCCTACTGCACACACCTCAAAGATGCAGCCTGCTCCAGACACCACCGGAAGGATAGGAGAGGAAGGGAGCTGTCGCCAGACACCACTTTCCTCGATGCACTTGTCAGCTGGAGAGTACTTGGAGAGGATTGGTGGGATGCTTGCCCCTGTGCTGGTAACTCAGATGTCTGCTAGGCTAATTTGGAAGCTATTATCTCCCATTTTTTAAGCTCTGGAATACACAGGCATGCCACAAGCAGAAAAAAACCCACTGGAAACAGCAGCACTGTGATCAGTTGGTAGGCATGTCACCCATAGTCTGTGCAGGCCCTGAGTGCTGGGATTTTCAACTGATCTCACCTGGACAGGTTCTCCTGGCTGATTATGGAGGGAGGAGGGCTCACACTGTCAGTACCTCCAGGACAGAAGCTTTTAGTGATCCAAGTGACCTTTAATTCTACCACTTGTACCTACAATGTAAAGAGAGAGAATGCAATTTAATTTTTCAGAGGCTTTCCTAGACCAGTGTCTAGTATCTGAACATTTATGCACAGGGAAGTGCCAAATCTGCTTTTATCATGTGAGACGGCCAAATGTAGTTTCTGCAGATACAGGTCCACTACAGTGCTCCCATAGCATGGCTCTTGGCAGCACAGAGCTGCTACAGTTTTTCAAGAGAAACTACATCTGCCCTGGGAAGAAAGCTATCGTACATACAAATCAGCAGCCCAATGTCACAAAGACATGCTAATGGACTTGGAGCTGCTCCCTCTTTCAGCAAAGAGTCAGCAACATTTCTCCCTTTTTGGGTAGCAGACAACATTAAGTTTCAATTGAAAAGGTACTTCTGCTGCCCTAATGATCATCAGTACTGGCTTCTAAGTGTATTGGCACAAAATCACTTTACACAGTGCCCCTTGGGAAGAAAAAGCCAAGCCATGCTCAGAAGCTCTGTCAGTCCACAGTGAGAAATCTGTCACCTCCAAAGAACACAGCCAAGGTGCATTTGCTCTCGGAAGGTTACTATGGAAAGCTGACTTTGCTCCAAAAGACCAGTCAGGACTGTTCTGTGCAGAAGGCCATGTGTCAGCTTGCCAGTCCTTACCTCTTCCACCACCACTCTGAACTTGCTCTTTGTGCTCAGAACAGGCTTCACACCCGAGAGCCACTGCACACTGGAGAAGACTTTAGATGGCCCGATGAGGACTTGCCCAGGATAAAAGCCATATGAATCATCAAAGAAGAGACCCTGTGGGGGAAAGGGAATGAGAAAAGAAGCCAGCATAAAGGACTTTCACTCTTAAGATTCCAACATTTCTCTTCTCTCATTCATGATCAGTAAGATTAACCATAAAGGTAGTCTCCAAGTTGCCCATCTCCTAAAGCTCATTCCTCTCCTGAAGTCAGCCCAGCAGTTCCTATAGCAACCTGCTCAGTCACACATCCAAATGGGCCTATGACTCAGTGGGGGAGAAGCAAAGGTATTTGCAAGAACCAAAAGATGTGGATTTCCACACAAACATTCTCAGTAACAAGATAGCCAAGGTGGGCCGAGCCCTGGGCAAGGACACTCACCTCTTCTCCATGCTCCAATTCAAGCATCTAAGCTTTCTGAGCCAGAGGCTGCCTGCCTCCACTCCTCTGCTCATCAAATTAAGTTTCTAAGTATTATTCCTGTCTCAGGCAGAGTAGTTAACATTAACTTGACAGTTCTTTGAAACAAAACAGGACGGTAAACACAACAATTGCTCTCCTAGAGTGCTTTTCCCACTGATATTTAGAGTGACTTGATGAGCCAAAGATTCAGAATGTGGGGGCGGACAGAGCAGTTTAGGGTAGATAAAACACTGAGCACAAAACTGTATCAAGTCTTGTAATTTGTCAGAAAGTAAAGCAGCAGTGCAACAAGATGTAAGTCAGGTAAATATTTAACACACAGCAGTTCTGAGCACAGGATCCACAGGAACACTGGAGGCAACTCCTGTTTCAGACTAAACACCAACTCTCCAGAGGACTACATATGCTTTAAAGGCAGCCTGACTCAAAATAAGAAGCCTCAGAAGTGACTAATCAGGAGCTGGACACTGCTACCACATCCATTTATCAAGTGGAAAATATACTACACAAGCCAAAGAAGCAGGGACTAAGATCTGGAGAATATCTAGCAATAGACCACTCCTTTTCTGTGAAAACCATAGTAGTACTTCCTATTAAACTGACGATTATTTACTCTGACAAGAAACAGGCATCAAATCTTAACAGAATTGCAGTTTTAGATCAAAAGGACCACTGCTTTGGAAGGATAAGGGCCAACTGCATTGCTAGTTCCCAAGAGTTACATGCCATTCTCAGTTCACTCCCAGGACACTGCCAGGGGTGCAGTGACGCCGTACTGATGCCTTGCTTGCTTGGGAGAACAAGCAAGCTGTCATCAGCCTTGGAATGTGAGAGAGGTTAGACCCTATCATCACACAGGGGACTGTTTTTCTCAAAAGCTAGCAAAACCTTCCCTGCCACAGGAGCTGGAAAATGCCAGTATGGTGGCAAGTCTCAGAGAATGCAATGGGCTAGAGCAGAAGGGATGCAGTATTTTATGTGAACTGGTAATATGCTTCTAGCAGAACACCATTTAAACAATATGCCCTTTTCCAGAAGGGGAACAATTCTGAAAGCATTAAATGTAGTGAGAGCCTTTTAAAGCATGTACAGATAAAATGAGAGGAGTGAACTGCCTTGACATCAGCCATCTGACTGCAGGCAATGCAAGTTGTTTGCAAAGAAAGCAGTTGGATATATTAATTGTAATAACTCCTCAAAACCTGCTTATTACTAACATTACACCTTCAAGCCACATCCTGTTACACTTACTTCAAGTGAAGATGTAGTGAAGTGTTTTTCAGCCATGGTGCATCATTTAATTTTTATGATTAATAAATGCCTACAGTTTTGGCTTCCCCCTCCCTCCTGAACAAAAGCCTACAAGATGAAGTTGATCAAAAAGACTCTCAGGACAATCAGAAGGCTCACCGAGTCACTGACATGAGGACAAATGTCATACAGTTTGGCTCCATCTTCTGTGCTCATAGAACACCTGGAAAACAGAGAAGACAGGCACATTTCCAGAGCCATCCACCTCAAAAGCAAATTAACTGCCACGGCCTGAGCAAGTCTGTCTGTATGGCCAGCAGTATTTCTGAGCCTCTATGGTCCAGAACAAAACTGGTTATACACACACACTACAAAAACACTGCCTAGTATCTAAAGCTGCCATTCAGCATGTAAAAAAAAAATATAATGCGCTTGCTGGACAAGATTTGTCTGCTGCAAGGGTCTCATTTGTTATTCACACCAATGCTGGACCCTAGAGGCAATTTGGGTATATACTTACTTTGGCAATAGCTTCATTTCCAGAGCGAGTGCTGGTGGGATTTCAAATGAAGATATTTTGAAAATAGTTCCCTCACTTTACATAGCTATGCATGAGCTGGTAACAGACACCAAGCAAGGTTTTAAATTGCAGCAGTAACTGCAGGCAACACAGATAGAGAAGCGTGGCTATTTTTCACTCCCAGTTTAACACTTGCTTAAGAGCTTCCAGCCTGGGCTAACCAAACATGAAACAATCAGAGTCACAGATGCAGTCACCTATCATCTGTTACAGCTCTTGCATTACTCGCTTCCTTAGACTCAGAGCTGGCTGCAGGATTGTGCATTTGTTGATTTTTTTTTTCTTTCTGTTTTGTTTTGGGTTTTTTAAACATCAATGGCAATGCTCAGTTTACAAGGCAGATGGGTTATTCCCCCATTGCCAGGCCCATAACCCTCTTGGGTCCCCAATGGTTCCTTCCTTTCTTGCATCAACAAAAGTTTGACAAAAACAGTGTTGGACAAGACAAGCCTCAATAACAGAGTGAACTCACAAGGGTTTAGCTCACAAGTAACTGACGTGCACAAGGAACAGAATTCAGATCCTTCTGCTGGCTTTGCAGAAATAAGTTACCAGATATTTGTTTCCATCTCTCTAATTAAATCTCTCTCTGGAGATCTGACTTTGGATTATGTCTTCATTGAAAAAAATATGCCTAATGCAGTTGCAAGTAAGAGTGATAAAGCCAAGCTGTTCAGTCTTGGGCTGGTTTTTCATCTTTGGTAAAAAACACTAGCCTGCAAGTTTCTACACTTCCACAGACCTATTTTTTTTTATCATAAGAATCTTCCCTGCATCTCAGGGAATTTAGGCTCTCCTACTGAGAACAGGTCTGGCATAGCTATCCATCTTAAACAGCTGCTTTTCCACAGGAAAAGCACAGTTTAAAGAGCAACATGCTTGAGATTAAAGAGCACTGATCTGATGAGATTAAAAAAAATTGTCACCTTTCAGACAACAGCTTTTCCAGAGGGTGACTTATGAATCTCAGTGTTGTCAGAGAAAAACGTATTCTTGCTTTAGATCTCAAGATAGTGCAGGCAGATAACATTATGTGAATGAAGCTCAGCCTGTTTCTAGCTCTCCTAAAATAGCTCAGGATTGTGAAAGTCAAGGACATTCTTCAACAGAAAGAAGTACCTGGCTCCATTGGAAAGCTTGAGGATGACCTGGTTCTTCAAATCATAGACCTTGCCCAGCCAGCAGTCATAAGCTATGTAGTCACCATACATGAAAGGCTATGAAGAAAACAGGAAACAAAAATGTATAAATATAAACTTGTAGTCTGAGCCACCAAGTAAGTCCTCACACAATGCAGACTAGACAGACATCTCAAAGGGAGTTGGGACAGCAACTGCAGATCTCACTATGCATTGGAATGAAGCTACATGGAAGGGTTTGCTTGACAGTCAGCACATAGCTTGGGTTCTCCAGTTAAACATCTCAGGGCATTCTCTCAGATTTTTTTGGTCCTCAGATCTTAAGTGTCCTATTCTATTCAAGAGGTACTCTGCAAAGTACAGGCATACTTTTGTTCGCCTTCAGTTAATATTAACAATTTTTTATCATTGAGGCTCATCTTCCATCCCAGGGAAGCTTGTATACAAACTGCCTTTCCACAAGCTGTTTCCCAGTGAGGACTGGGACACTCCTGGTCTTCACTCCCAAATTATCTTTTTCTTAGAGGAAAAAGAATGATGAAAGCCTATCCTGCCTGGTCTCTGGAACTTTTGTTTGCCTTCAGTTAATATTAACAATTTATCATTGAGACTCATCTTCCATCCCAGGGAAGCTTGTATACAAACTGCCTTTCCACAAGCTGTTTCCCAGTGAGGACTGGGACACTCCTGGTCTTCACTCCCAAATTATCTTTTTCTTAGAGGAAAAAGAATGATGAGAGCCTATCCTGCCTGGTCTCTGGAAATCACCCACCCACTCAATTGGGAGAACCAGATACATTTAAGACTATTCCAGCTCAACAGTCTCAGGTGTTTGACTCATCTCAGCATTTTTATAGCCTGTTTAAACAGTAATGATATTGCAGCTCTAAAGCTCTGTGCCACTGCCATGGGGTTGTCCCAAATCAGGTTGTCACACCAGCTCGTCTCAATGCAGAAGTTCTCACACAATTTAATGTCAAGCCCTTCAAGTCAATTTGTTCTCAATGTGATCAGAAACAGAACAGATGGGGAGACGAGGTGATTCTGCATCTTCTTCCAGGGAGGATACTTGCAGGAAGTTTAAAATAAAGCCAACCTGCAGATGAATCCTGCATAATATGGATGCCTCCCTGCATGCGTTACCTGAAATACAGCAGCACCCCTCAAAACCACCAAGCCCTGGCTCCCACGTGTATTTGGGATGCGTTCTCACCCAGATATGTTGCAGGTCTTTGCTGTTGACAGGATAGAGGATGCAGTTGGTTCCCACCAGCTTCACAGCACACTCTATATTGACATCAATTACAGTTCCACATTGGCTATCCTAAAAACACAAAAATGGGTTTATCACCTCAGGAAGGTGCTACATACACATATACATGCTCTGTGTACACACAGGAAGTGCAGAAACACGTAAACTTTCAAGACTAGATCTCCTCTCAAACTTCAGGCCCTCGTGAAAGGGCATTTCAGATGACCCTAAGACAACTCGAAGTGAGATCACTATTAAGGACCTGTGGTGTTTGCTTCCCAGTTAAAACTTGCTGCTAAAGCAGCAGCCCAGAGACTCCTGCATCTGGTCAAAGACAACCACACTATGTCAGGTGAATAGTATTTACTTGCTTGAAAATCTGCCTGGCAACTTGGTCTACTCAACTGAGCAGGTCTCTCCAACTCCATAGAACCGTCCTGCAAGTACTGCCCTGAGTCAGCAAAGGCAGGGGTAGGTCATCAACCCCAGAAGAAAAGAGAAATTCTTGAAAGCTGTCCCAAACTTCTCACATAAAGCTTAGTTTTGCAAGACTTTATAAATGGTCTTCACTTGCTGCCATACTGAAAAAAAATCTGGCACCTTCAGTCAGATTTCAAGGTTTCAAGCCAGATAATATACAGTTGGTCCAATTACAAGATGACTGTCATTATCTCCTACACTTTTTAGCAAAGTTTTAATCTTTTTTGTCCCCAAGAAAATAATGCATGCTGTCAAGAGCCTTCTGGGGCTAGTTTGGCAGGGAGCACACAATCTGCACGTTGCTCACACATATGGTGGAGGCCTGCAAGGAAGGGCTGCTAACCCAAACACTGTCAAACGTGGCAGCTGCCCTGGCCTCCTGACAGCTGGGACAATCGATCCTCCTATTTATTAAAGGCCACAAGTCCATTATAAAAGCTGACTGAGGGCCAGCATGACAAATGCCCTGGAATCAGCAGCTTGGGAAGTTGTCCTTACCTCAAACATCAAGGTCTCTGCTCCAACAGGACTTGAATAACACTTGAAGGGTATAACCCTGTGAGATGTGGATTTATTTGCTCAGCCCACTTGCAAACATGTTCTTTCGGCCATGTTAAATATTTATTCAAGGCTTTCACTCAGAGCCCTGGGCAGCCCTTTGGGGAGCTCAGGAGTTTACTGGTGCTCAGCTCCTGGGGACTGGTGGTTAGAGCAAAGACACCCACAGTAGAGGATAATTCCTGGACAGATTGCTCAGCCCATTTGGCTGGTTTGCTTTCCACCTGCCTCCTGCAAATCCTCTTCCTCAAATTCCACAAACCCTGTGCTCCACAGCCCCCAAGCTCCCAAGGCATCAGCGATGAGGAGAGTGGGTCGTGTTCCATGTTTCATCCATGTGGAGCTGTGCCAGCATGGCCAGGAGGGCTTGGAGAGCCAGGCTGACAGAGCCCAGAGCAGCAGGGGCTCACTGCCTCCAGCTGCCCCACACAGCACTCCATTTCTTTCTAGAAAAGCTAGGAAGCAAAGGGAGCCTTTCCCAGCTACAGCTCCTTGATGACAGACAGCAGCTAAGCCTAATGTAGCTTACAGCCTGCACAGGCTGCCAGGAAAGAGCCCAGCAGAGCTGTACCGTAGCTCTCACCTGAAAAGGGATTGCCAGAACTACACCAGATCCACAGCAGCTGCTGCCAGCACCATTTGAGCTGTAGGATGAGCAAGGTCTGCGCAGAAGTGGCACTTGCTCAACAAGCCCACAGCTTCTGCAGGGTAGATCACAGCCACAGACCCTGCTTTTCATCTAGATTAAGCTAAATTAAGCATGCCCAGTCCATCCTGTCCTTGCTTTGCAGTTCAGGCTCTCTGTTTTAGAATGCTTAGTAATCAGAACTAAAATACCCTCAAGAAACAAACTCCTTACCCTACAATGAGCATTTCAGAATTAATTTTTCCTTTATCAGTAGCCAACAATAGCAGCTCTGAGAAATGACACAATCCAACACCTGCAGTTGCTGTAGATCATCTTGCCTCTAGGCCTAAAACCCTCTTTTACTGATGGTGAAAGAATAACAATTAATAAAACTAGGACTGGGGCAACTGATGTACACCAACACCCTCTGCCCATTCTCTAAGTGACAGTTTACCCATGGAGAAGGTACCTGCACCACCCTACAAGCCCACCTCTCATCTAACACGGTTTGGTGCTATTAGCCATGGGCAAGAGCACTGAGTTTAGTCCAGCTTGCTTCTCCTTCCAGCCAAAATGTTCTAGCAAGCACAGAGTGCCACCTGGGGTTAAGAACACAGAGAGTGTTGTGAGCAGCCCCAGAAGGGGCTGAGCTCTCCTCCCTCACCTGCCACTGATCTTTGTTTATTATGAGTTTATTTCACTGCCACATGAAACATTAGCCTGCAAGAGGGGAGGCAGCTCTGCAGGCTGAGGGGTTCTGCTGAATCACTCTGAGGTTACAGCAGTGCTCAGCAATGCGGTCCCAGAGGGAGAAGTCGCCAACTTGTCTTCCAGGGTCGGTCTGCAGCCAGAGCACAGCTCCCCTCCAGCCTGCTCAAGTACAACTGTCCCATCCTGTTCATTAGGTGATCCCATTAAAGGAAGGGCCAAATGAAATGAGCTGAGATTTCACAATTCTGTTAAAAATCAATGTTTTCATTAACCCCAACAGCACAACTGGAAAAGGGAGATGACTTCTCTTCCCTAGAAGAGTTGATGGGTTCAAGCTCCACTCACACCAGAATTAAGTGCTCTCCCTAGACCTTCTTCCTGCATCTTCTGGTACCCTGACAGTGTGCACCAGGCTGGAGATACTGCATGTTGAAGCAGTGAAAGGATGGAGAAGCAACTCTTCTGCTTCCCCAGAGACAAGGCTTTAGGGCAGACCAGCAAACTCCCATTTGAGAGAGCAGCAGCTCTGCAAGCACAGGACTCAATCCCATATCTTCTATCCCATCCTCCTACTTCTCCCCTCAACACTCTACTTGAGACCAGCCTCTTATGCCTTTATTTAAAAGGGACAGCATAGCCCAGTACCCTTTGAAGCAACAAAATCCAGAGTCTGACAGATTACAGATTTGCTTCTAATCTTCCCCCCCAAATTCACATATCACCTGGAAAAATGAACTCTGCCACTTCCAGCACTTCTCACCTGGCTGGATTAGACTCACAGGTCTAACTGCAGCCAGAGAAAATGATCTTGCTTTACACATTACCCCCTGAAGCAGTTTTTCCTGATGAGGAGCACATGAATTTGAGTCAGCTCTCTTCTCTTGAGGAACAGAGGATTTCGAGTCCTTCCCACTCAAGGTTAAAAACAAGCCCTAAGTGTGGTGAATACAGAATAAATTCCACACTGTGTTTGCCAGGCCAACTGGTGCAGGGCAACCATCCCACATCCTGAACTTGGCAGGCCAACACTTCCAGATTTTATATTTTAAATGCTCTTCTGATTTCTGGACTATATCTGATTAACAAGTGAAGGTTTTCTTTGGGATAGAAGGGGTTTGTTTCATTTACCACTGACATTTATAATATACTTGAGAGTAAAGTGAAGTGTAAGTAATCTTCAGACTTGCTGTGCTTTTGAATAAAGAAATGGAGTTATATCCTCACCATTCCAACAATTAACAAAAATGAACATATCAGCCACTAGTCTAAGTGGTCAAGCAAAAGCCAGCACTTAAACATGCAAACAGACAATAAATGAGGGTGCAAAACAACTGCTGGATACTGTATCCACTGATACATGCACAGCAAGCCAGAAAAGCCAATTTCTCCTTTGATGAATATGGAAATTGCAAACAAAGGCAGCACCTCCTCTTGGCAAACCTGGATAACAACTTGCTGTCCTGTAAGCTTAAGAGGACTTTAAAAAGCATTGGAATAAAAAGAGTTGAGAGGCAGGACTCAAAGCACCCCTTGGAGAGGAGGATTTACTAGAGTCCAGCTGTGCCAGGTACCATGGCATGAACAGCTGATGTTTCAATTTGCTAGCTGCTCATTGTTTTGGACTGAAGTGCTTTTAGTAAGATACATTGACTCCAAATTTCCATTTCAAACAATTAAATTCCTTCAGGAAATATTTTGTTCCAGCATTTTTCAAATTACCCTTGAAGGTTTTTTTCCCTCCCTTCTCTTCAGAAGATTCTGTGAAAAAGGGGAGGGTTTCTTTCTTTTATAATTTACAAAAATGGCTCATTTAAAAAACCAAGCCACCCAGCTTAGAGGATGGCCTGCCCCATCCCTGCACACCATGTGGTGCAACTGCAGCAGCTCATGGCCAGCTGCCTGCCTCATCCCAGCCCTGGTAGCCACATTTGCTGGAAGCAAGTCAAGAGAAGATACAGGCGTGCACATGGCAGGCCAGATGGCTCAGGGTTATAGGTTAGGTGTGAGCAACAGCATGAAACTCCCAACCTAGCTAAGCTCCTAAAGAGACCACATCACAACTGATAATTGATACTGAACAATGTTCCAGACATTTCCTAGACAAAACACAAATCCACATACCTGATAAGCATAAACACTGTACAGCTAGGACAGAAAGACTAGGGTTTTATATAGTACCCAGAAAGAGTAAGGGTAGCAAATACAGGCTGCTGATTCAAAATCAGCTTGCTTTCTGTTAACCTAGCAGTGCCAGCTGCTTCAGCAGTATTGGGATTTGCTGTATTTCTGGTAGAAACTGGACAAGATGGTGCTTACAGTAGCTTGAGAGGTCTCCCCAAAAACATTCCCTCCAAATTCTCTACCATAGCACACCGAAAGGCACACAGCAATGTGATCTCCCTTCTCTCTAGCCTCCCTGTTAGGTCTGGGGGGGCAGGTCCATACTCCCCACACCTCAGAAACAGGTTGATTTAAGGATGACAGGATAGACAAGCTTCTTGTCTCATTACCTGACATAATCAGGCTCACTTGCTCAGACCTTTGCAGATATGCAACAGTAGAGAGGCAGCCTTATCAGCATTTCATTTTCAAAGGATGTAGCTATGTCTATCAAACACTAAAAATAGAACATGCTCAAAGCATTACCGTTCAATTCCATTCAGGCAATTTGGCAGGTCTCAGAAATCCATGCAGCAGTATCACAATCAAAAAGGGACAAAGAAAAAAAGCACTTACGCTGGAGCTCATGTGTCTGACTACATCTCGAGGGACCACAGAGCGATCTTCAAGCTTCAGCTAAGGAGAGAGAGAGAAACACTGAATTTAGTGACCCCAGATGATACTTACTCAGAAATAACACTACAAATACAAATGCCCACTATCCCAATTCTCCAGACTGAGGTTTTCAGCAGGGGATGCTGAGGCACTTCCATCAGACACAGGGTTAACCCCCCTTGGCACGTTCACAAAACCCAGAGCAACCAGGCAATCCATCCACGACCGTGCTCTAAACTCAGCAGACACATCAAAAGGGTGCAGACACTGACTTGTTCATCACTTGAAGTCTCCCCCTCCTCTCCCTCTGTCCACACCACACTTCATTGCCTACCAGCATCCAGTCTATGTACTAGAGAACACAGAAGACATAGGAAGAAGCATATCACACCATGTTTGTGTGCATCCTGCACACTTTTCACCTAAGACACCCCTAAATATCTGTGGAAACCTTGTTTGGCCTGGAGTATTTTGAGCAGGGTACTATAGTCTTAGCTGGTGCAGAAATTGATGGCAAGTGACTGCAGCAAGCACTTGCCATAAAAAAAAGAAAACCAGGAAAAGAAATGTCTCTACTGCTCTTAGTAGCCCCCAGGTCCATGAAGGTAACACAAAGGCACCAATAAGAGAATGGACAAAGTCAGAGCTCTGCTCATGCTCCAGCCCCTGCTAAAGTACTTGCTGGCAAAGAGCTAGTGCTGGTAACAAAAGCTGGAGCTGGACCATCATCACGTATTCCATGTTAGTTCATGCAGAGTTGTGGGCACCAGGAGTCATTACTGGTACAGGAAGGTATCACTTGGTGCATCTCCAGTGATTACTGGTCAGTTAACCAAGTAATGTGCTTCACCACACTGTGCCAGTGATCTCAAGAATGCTTGCAGGCCTGTTCCCCAAGTGTCTTCAAAAAGCTCAGAACTACAGAACACAGTTGCCAGTAAATCCCCTAACATGCTACACAAGGGATAATGTCCCAAGTGTACTAACAGGCAGGCCACCAGACTCAACTCCAATTTCAGGCAATAGAGTTCAGTTAAGGTTTCCTTCTGCTGAGCAGGGAGAAGTCTCGTCTGCACTTCAGTGGTCAAGAACACATTTGCATTGGCACATCACCAAGCCCTGCAAATACACTAATTGCACACCATGCATTTTGGGAAGCACCATGTGAATGCAGCACTGGGGACAATCTTTCACATCTCACTTTCAGAAGCCACCTCTCCACGACTGCTACATTCATTGCTTTTCCTTGCCGTCCCACAGCCCAAAATCCACCGTGCTTTGTCAGCATCTCGTCCTAACCCACACCCTGGCTTACAGCCTGCTTTACTAAATTAGACATAGATCTATAATCCAAGGACAGGATCCAGAATCCAACCAAAGTACCCGAGTGCTTATTGCCCTCTTGACTGCGTGTTTCAGCAAGAGGAAGAGAGCCAGCCAGCTATGCTTTTAGCCCCAGCTCCTGGAGTCAGAACTCCACCGGAGTGGGAAACCTGAAGCCTCCCACAACCCATTTCCAGATTGTGGAAGTGTTTTCATTGCCTCCCACATCCCACCAGAGTATATAGATAGATATCAATTTTTATACAGCTTTCTAAATTTAGGTGTTAAAGTAAGTACTGCATAGAGAGCCTCTCAACATCCAGAACCATTCTCATTCCAGTAAGTACTCAAGCGTGAGCAGCAGTTTGGGTGCTTTAACTGGAGTTCTCTTGCTGCAGAGCTCCGAGTGCATAACCATACTCTCATTTCAACATGCATTAGGGCAATTTAATCCCTGACACGTGGTGTTTAAATTGATGCATTATGTTTCAACATAGCATTGAGCCACATTGCTCTGTTCTGCACTGAACAGTATCTGAAGAACCCAGAATGACAAGATGGTTGAAAGCTACCTGACAGTGGCAATATTTGTGTTAGTCAACTCTGGGAAATCATAAAAGTTGTAATTAGTAGCTTTCCCATTTTGTGATCCTTCCTGAAGGATCTAGTCACACAAATTCTTCCCAAAGCAAGGCATGAAGCCTTCTCTGTGGGGGGACTACATTTAACCTATTTTCAGATCTCTTACTTTTTAAGGCAGCACAACTATTTCCAGCTTCATGTGCCAGACCCACCTGCCTCAGTCACTAGGTTAAGCAAGCCAAGCAGCAGGCAAAAGGCCAGCACCAACAATAAACACTTAGCAGCTCTGTCACTGAACTAAGGACTGTCAAAGCCCAGACCAAGCTGGACCAGAGGAAGCCAGAATGGCTGTTGGTAAGCACATATATCTATTATGCCCAGAGAGAGGGGATCATCAGACGAAGGTCAGCCCCCTCCCTCAGCACTGAGGGAACTTAATATTGGAGGAGCACTTTAACAGGTACTTGCAGCTCAGTTGCTCTATATTTACCTCTGTGAAAGTCAGCCCTGGCATGACAAGTTTTATGTTCCAGCCACATGCCTTGGTAACAGCCCCCAGAACAAGAAATCTGTTTCCCAGAGATGCTCTTAGTGAGGCCTGCACTCCCTCCTGTACGCCAAGCTGGGCTCCACACTCTCCAAACACCTCAAATGCAAGGCATGTTTTCTGCTGCATTTTTAAAAAACAAATTCACATTTATGCATGTTAAATAAAGCAAACACAAGACACTCCTCACTGCACACACATTTTACCCAGGTAAAGAGGAGTGGCCAACACCCATCCATCAGGATTCAGTTACCTGGCTTAATGCACTGACAGGGAAAAAAAGCAGCAGATCAGCTCTGGCACTCATTTGTGATCGCCTCCACTGTTCAGATGCTTCCTTGGTGCACAGCACTGAGTCAGTGCCCGAGCTCACAGCAGCTCTCCTGGCCACAAGGCAGCAGCTGCAGCCTGGAGAACACCTGAGACTCCCCCAGGTCTGATGCTGCTCTCATGTCACACACAGCAGAGGGGTACAGAAGCGGTGATTTCTGCACAGGGAACAAGCACCACCACAGCAGCATGTTCCCTTCTCATCTCAAATGAAATAAGCCATCAGGATTTCACCTAAAACTGGGGAGGACTGGGAGAGGAGGACAGACATTTCCGCCTGGATGCTGAGCATTAACTCATTGAAGCAATAAGCTACCAAGGTTTAAACCATTTATCTGATTTCTTATCACAAAAACCTTGGTAGCTTATTGCTTCAAACCATTTATCTGATTTCTTATCACAAGCTTGTCATTTGAAGCAAAATCTTTGTGTTTTTTTTTTTTTCAATTAACAACAAAGTTTGGGAGATGTGTCTGCCAGTAAACTGGACCCTCACTTTTGCAAACCCTTCAGCAGCTAGGTGTAAGCATCCTTGGGCAAGGGTGGGCTAGACTCATGCTGGAACTCTGGATTTCACCTCTCAGCTCCACAAATGGGAGACATGGGGCCAGTTTCCTGCTCCAACAGCTACCATCTGACAGAGGATCAAAACCAGAGCAACTTATTTTGATGATTTGGAGGAGTAGTCACCAATAACAAGTATTACAGCAGGTAATTAAGTTGCAATCACTTCTGAAGTTCAGTGACAAATAACAGGAGTTGCTGAGACTACTACAGGGACAACTTGCCCTGCTTGGCCTGTAACCAACCAAACCCAGTACTAGAAGCACTCAGAAGTGACATAAATTGATAGGCACTATCTGCATATTTAAAAGCAGAGCTTAAATTCACTAATTAGCTGCTTGAGTTTGCTTGTAACACCACTGGTACCCACCAGAATACAAAAAAATCCTCTCCACAGGATCCATCTACTAGTTCTCTTGTCATGTCCCCCACTAAATGTTTGATGCAGCAAAGGGGAAAAAGATACCACATATATGCTGACTGCCAGCACAACTCTTCCTTTCCTATTCCCAGATGGACTCTTCCCTTTATGGTGCAGGAGTCCAGATATTTTAGTTTAGGAGAAATAAAAGGTAATTCTGCCTGCAAATAGCAGCATTTGGTTTTGCTGTTGCCAGCCTTCACTTCAGTGGGCAATGTTGTCATGAGAGATAATCATCAACTAACCGTTCCCTGCTCCAAACAACCAAAGCACAGAAGCTGGGGGACAAGCTTAAGTGCAGAAGGGAATGGTAGTTTTAAAGGGTGAATGCATCCACACACAGCTGTTGGTTGTTCAGTCTCAAATACACCAGCACACACCATTTGCACAGGCTCCTGTACCAGCTTTTGGAGGAACTGGCTACTCAGAGGACCTTGCAGGTTTAACCCACGCTTGGACACCAGGAAGGACAGGAGACCTTGTCATTGTGATTCATCATCACCCAAGGCTGAACTTCAGATCACAGTTCCTTATCTTCTACACCCAGCTGTGACACATGGGCTTGGGAGCACACCTTCCGCCTGGATCAGCCACAGTCTTACCACTGCCTGCCTGCTCAGCTACCCAGCAACAGAGTGCGCCCTGGCTATGGGAGGTGACACCTGATCCAGCACACAGCCTGCCAATACCAACTTAAACTGCTAAAGTTCATGCCTGGTCAGTGCTGTCTCATGTAACTGCAATGTCTGACCAATAAAGAATAAAATTTGCTCGAGGGTGCTGGTGTGATCCCACACACTCACCACAGTGAGGAAAACATTGGTTTCTATTCCAGACACATTTCAGATTTTATCCTCCAAAACAAGAGCTCTGTGAATAAGCACATAAGGATGAAGGAGAGAAAAAAGCAGCACCCCATCCCCCCCATACTCCCTTGGTAACTGCTTACAAAAATTAGAATACAAGACAGCGCAAAAAAACCCATGGAGGAATGTGATACTGGAGATGAAACTATGTATAATTTACCTGAGCTGCTATATGATGGTCAAGATCTTTATCCAACCAAGAGTAAGAAGTGAACTACCTATTCTGCAATCTGCTTCTGCCATTTGAGTTAAGCAAGGACCCAGTTAGCAGTGCTCAGCAGCACGAGGACAGGGCAGCCAGGCTTTGACCCGCACAGACCTGCTACCTCTACTCCACCTCCCACATCCCAGCACTCTTCTCGCACCTCTCATATAACTGGTC